GTGCTTAGAGGTGTTGTGGCAGAGAAGTGTTTGCTGAATTTTGTACTTAGCACACCGCGCTTAGCGCTAATTTATGTCAGTTTAAGTGTTTTAAGTGGAATTACGCTTAGCGCCACTTTTTGGGCTAAGTGAGGTTTGTGAATTTCAGATTGTATATATTCATTTGTACATCATTTTTTAGGTTTTGGTTTTGGTTATTTTTAGTCCCAACTTCATCACAAACAATATTTGATGTTAGAGCTTAGAAAACAACAATGGAGGTCGCATTTGGATGACCTGGAGTTGGATTTCTCATCAATCGGAGTTAACAAACCGGGAGATGTTTGGTTCTTCTTCCTTCTTCTCTTTGTGTTCTCTATTTGTTGGAGTTTGTATGTAAGTTTACCTTGATTGTATGTATATTTGTTGATCATGGTGTTGTATACTCTCTATTTTACAAATCAATATTGACTATTGCTTGCTTTATCTTGGATTTGAGTTGCTATAGACATATAAGGGTTAAATCCGGATTTAGGATGAACATTTATTAGGTTCTAGACTCTAGAGATATATTTAGACTTAATATTCACTGTAGGTATCGATTCTTAATGCCCTGGGTTGGTTAGTTGCATGAGACATCACTGACGAAACAATATGGTAGAACTCTCGTAGGTGCTTCAGACATGAACACGGATATGAGGGATACATGATGATATTGACTAATAATTTATGACACGTACAACTGATCAATAGTTTTAAGTATTTGATAGGGTAGATGAAATCCAAACCCGAAAGAGTTCTCTCCTCTCTAAGAATGATTTATTTTCTTGTTCATAATTTTACTTTCTGCACCTTATACTTTTAACTCATTCAAAATCAAGCTCAGAAATGCATAAACTATTGAAAGACATTTTTTCCCTCACACTAATCTCTATGGAGACGATAAAACAAAACTAAAAATACTTATTTTTGGTTGTTGCGTTACTGCAACATCTAAATGGAGCTGTTATCAGGGATTGTGTTTAGATATTGAATCGCATTGCAATAGTTTATATGTTTTTGAGTTTTGTACATAATGTCTATAATGTATAGATACATACTTGTTTATATTCATACTTTTGTACATTTGTTCATATATAGATACTTGTTTATATTCATACATTTGTACATTTATCCATATTGATATACTTGTTTTTTTTTTAAATATTTGTTCAAGTTTTGGTTAGGCGTTATGGTTGGTGTAGGGACAGCGAAACCAGGAGCAACAACTAGCCAGGATAAATAAATAAGTCGAGCTAACAATGTAAAACAAGTGCTTGTTGGGAGGCATCCCAACATTTTTAATTTTTGTACATTTATGTAGTTGAGGTAGTGTAAGTGATAACGGATGTTTAGCATGAAATTCAGATGCAATTCTGATTTTTCTATGCATACCTGCTGCCGCTGAGCATGGTCTGATAGCACTAAGCGCGCCCTGTATCTATGTGCATGCTAAGCGTATCTCTGGTGGCGCTAAGTGTGCTCTATTGCGTGCTAGTGGAAATTTTGTTTCACTCGACCCATTTTTCCCACTTTCATCAAGGCTATTTAGTGTAGTAAATAGTAGTATTATTTTCTAATATTTTTGTTTAGCGTTTGTATTCAAATTGGTCTATTGGTTTGAAGTCACATGGAGTAATTGTTCAAGTTTGATTGTTTCAACTTGCAAATGTATGGTAATGATAGTGTTTGAAAAGTTGGTACTTTGCAATGTTTATGTTTATTGCTTTTTATAACATAGCATGATTATGAACTTAGGCTTTGTACAAATTTCATGCCATGTATTATTTTGCATTACTTGTTCAATTTTGAATTAATTTAGATCTTCGTCCAAATGTGAGTGAGGTTTCCATTGTTTACTATATGAAGGAGACAAAAATTCTTGTTTAACTCAGTTTTATTATGTTTAATCTTGTATTTGTATTGATGTGTATGAAAGCATAAAAATGATCAATACATTTTTTTTTAAATTGAGCATAACCACCTAACCAAAAGTAATTTACCTGATGAGTGGGCGAGAATCTGTATCCCCTTTGGAGCCTTTTGTTAGGATCCTTTTTGATGATTAACTCTTGGAACTTGTAAATAACTAATTAGTTCATTGTTGATTTTCGATTGGATTCTGAATTTTTTCTTGAACCATTAACCATATCTTGTGCTTTGAATTTTTGCTCTTTCCTTAGAAAGTTAGGGAGCATTCACATTATGATATTTAGTTGTATTCAAGTTGGGGAGAAAAAGGATTGTTTGCTTATTTTTCGTTGCTTTGTGGTTGAAATAAATAAGTAGTTGAAAAATGAAAAGAAAATAAAGAAAAAAATGTGAAAATGAAAAAGAAAAAAAAAAAGAGAAAAAGAAAAAAAATGAAAATATCAATGGTTGTAGAAAATGAGCAAAGTGAGGGGTGAATAAAAATTTTGATTGCTTGAATGTGTGTGAATTGACTGCTCTCATAGGTTTAGGCAATTTAGTTTCATTGACCCTTAGAAATGATTCTTCCTTGTTATCCAAGCCACATTACAATCTTTAAGTCCTTGTGATTTTTGCTTTTGTGCTTTCAATATGAGTTTTTTCTTGATGAATTCATAATTTGACTTGTTGTTAGCTTGATTGTTGGGTGAGAGTAAAGTCCCTCGTGTTTTTGTTCTTCATCCCTTGAAGAAGTTGTGTGTTAGGTGTAACACCCCAAAATGATTAGATTATTTATTTAATTATTTTATCGATTTAAGATGAGTATTTGTGATATTTATGTGATGTCTTGATGAACATGATGCTTGATATGATGTTTTGTGCGGTGTATGATGGGGTAGTGAGAATTAAGATGATATTGATTATTTTTAGAATAATTGGGATAATTAGTTAGAATTATTTTAATTAGTTAAGTAGAATAATAATAATAATAATAATAATAATAATAATAATAATAATAAGAGGTAGAGGCTATGAGAAAAAGGTGGTAATATTGTGATGTAAGTGAGGGTAAGATGAGAATACCATAGAAAAAGTCCAAGGGTTAAACAAGGAATAGAGAGAAAAGAGTCTCATTCTGTGCAATCGTGAAAGTAAGAGGAACGTTGTGAAGAGAGCTAGGGCACGAGAGAACTCAGAGGGAATTTGGTAGAATGTGAAGAGGAAACAATTGCTAGGAAGAATCTAAGATAAGGGGAGTTTATCATTGTTATTATAAGTGATCTAAGGTTTAGATAATTGTATATTTGTGTTAGAGTTTTGTTTGATGTTATTAATAAGATGCTTTGATGAAAATTGACGAAATTGTGAGTTTGTTTTGCAATGATTTAATGCTTATGATGTGTAATAAGATGTGTTGTTGGTATATGATGAAACTAAGTGAATCTATAATAAATTGAGACCTGTAATATGAAGAAAATCGTGTAAAATTGGACTGGTGTAATGCAGAGATTGCAACAGAGAAGTCTTGTTTGTGCAGGCTCGTCGGGCGAGTGTGTTGCATCGTCGAGCAAAGGAGTCTTGCCCTTGTTGCGCTAGGAGAGCGTGAGGCGAAGGGAAAGGGGTGAAAATAGATCCCCTAGAAAATTGTATGGAGAGTGGTGACTTGCCCAAGCTTCGTCGGGCGAAGCAGGGGCGAGGGGTGTCTCGTCGGGCGAGCGAAGTGTTTCGCCGGGCAAAGGAGCCAAGAGAAAAACAACGCCCCTAAAGTTTTGTATGAGGAGGAAGTTGTCGCTCTAACCTCGTCGCATGAGCCTCAGGCGAGCAACCTGCTTCGTCGCGCGAGCCTCAGACGAGCAACCCTAGAGAAATAATCAACAAAGAAGTCGCCATCAGATGTTATTTATCCCAAAGAAGGGAAAGGGAAACATCAAGTAAACCTGAGAAAGGAAATCAGCAAGGTCTTGCGACCATGAGAAGAGTACGAGAGTCAATTATGCAAGGGGAAGGTATTAGTACCCCTCACTTTTGTGGTACTTCACGAGATCCACTCTTGTTGTTCTACTCAAAGGGTGTGTCTAAAGCTAACAAGCTAAGGGAAAATGTATGAATGCAAAATATATACACAAAAAGAAAGGTTCTTATTAGTGCACCCGCTGAGGTTGTGAATCTTTGTGCCTACGTACCCTCTTTGTGCAATGAGAAATCAGGGCACTCATAGTTCATCTAAAAAGGTGTTTTAGTTTGTTTTGTGTTTTTTTTAGGTGGATAATATTACATTCACACTCCAGTAGTTGACATATTGCAGCCTGACCTTTGAGGAACTATGCATCGTTTTACGCATAGTGGAAATAACACATCCTTTTTATGAAAATATTTTCAAAAGAAAAGTCTGAAGGTAACGGAGTTTGAGTTTGTTTGTAATCTTTTACCTTAAAAAAAGGATTTGGTGATTTGAACCACATTAAAGACTATGATTGAAAGGAAGCACAAGGTTCAAAATATACCGTCTCATACCTCTCCCAATACTTAAGGCTTGTGACACATAGTTCGCATCATTATTGTTAAGTATTTTGAGATTTGATTAAGAAAAAATAAATTTTAATCTTAAATGTGCAAAAGGGAAATGAAAAGGTCTAAGGGACACTAGACATCTTAATGTTGTCATGTACAATGGTCCTAGAGTCGGGATTGAAAAGGGAAATCCTAACTAATTGTTGGCATGCTTGGATTAAAGTTCTCGGGTCTAATTAATTCAATTTAATCAAAAGATTAAAATTGAATTAACAATCCTAAGAGATCCTAGCAAAAAAAAATTCAAAATAAAAGAAAATATATTCTATCATTTTTGGCATTTTTAATCAAGTAGAGAAATTCAATCAAACAAAACAATTAATTAAATTGATAGAAAACGAAATTGAAAAGTCGAGAGGGATGCAAACTGAATCCAGGAGAAGTGTAATATAAAAATATAAAAAAAGAGCCTAAACGTAGCCACATCCAGTCCAGTTCCAAACATCATCAGATTTCACTTGTTTTTATTTTCAATTTATTAACAGATTTTTATTAGTAAAATGCTGGACAAAACGTTGCGTTTGGTGTGGATACGGTTCCGAAATCATGTGACGGTTCATCTTCCTCTCAAAGTACGATCTCTTCTTCTTGTCTCTCTCTTTCCATTGCACAAGATCTTCCTCACAGCCATGACCGCCATGCCTCTCCTACTTCTCCGATCGCCTTTATCTCCTTCGCGCTTCAATCACAGCGGCTCCGCCTTAATTCATTCTGACTAGTCATCTTCTTCGATCTCGCTCAACCTATGCCTCAATTTTTGATTTGTTTCGATTTCATAGATTCAAACTTTGAAGTATCAATCGTTTATGTTCCAGTTTCGGTCGCGGTATCATGGATTCAATTTTGCTTTCGTCTTCGCAATTCAGTTTGAATAAAGCAATGATAACACACAACAGAAGCTAATGAAAGAGGCTGAAGATAATTACCTATTAGAGACGGTCTGGTGCCTTTTCGATTGCGATAACGATGAGAATCCAGAGAAAGATATACTCAGGTATGCTTTCGTCTTCAATTCTAGTTTCTCTACGATTCGAAAATTTCTTCTCCTTCTTCTTTTGTGTTTTGTCGTGTTGATGCGGTAGCACTTTTGTTGTTGCGTTGAAGAAATTTGGTTAAGAGATGAGAGAAGATGAAACTCTGTGATTCTGTGATTTTTGCAGATGAAGATTGAAATTCACATGTTGATTGCAGAGGAGTTGAAATAGATCAAGATTTCAAAACAGATGATGAAGTTTTAGAGAGAAAATGCAGAGAGTTTTTTCCAGCTTTTTGTATGAGGTGGTTGTGGTAATTGTTGGTTCCCATTGAGAGGAATGAGAGATGGATTATATAGCAAAGGAAGAGGGGTAAAAGAGAGATTGGATTGAAAGGGATAAGGATGAGGTGAATGGGATAAGGATTGATCCCTGATTTTGTGGAATTTGGGTGGAGAAAATTGTGAGAGTGGAATAAGAGTATGGAATGTGAGCTGTAATTCTGACTATTATTCTTTTGTACCTTCTCTTATAAGTTGTCCATCTGATTTGTTTCTGATTTTTCTATTTCAATTTTCTGGTTTATTGAAAAAATGCAAAGCTGGTTTTGGATATTTTTTGAGATTTTTTCACGGTTTTCACCTGATTCTTTATTCTAATCTTTTTCTAATTTCTGTTATGAGTTGCTTCTATATTTTGACTGTGTTAATTGATGTTGAGTTGGCTGTTCTGATTTTTCTTGTGAATTTTATTTCTTCTTTAAGATATCGTGCTGCTGGGTCAGGATTGTGATCTAGCTAATAGGTACCGGTTTGTGCAAGCCTGCTTGTATGGATGCAATTTTTGTATGTCTATTTGAAATGTATTTTCTTTTGCATGATAGATTGAGATGTATGGATTTATGATGACCTATTACTGGAATATTGCAGGTTCAGTGCACCTTTGGATTTTCACATGGTGTTGGCAATTTTGCATACATGGAGACAAGATGATCATGAAGGCAAGATGATGAAGATGGAATTTAGTGTAAAAGAATAACTATGTATTTGTTCAATGATGTAATGTAAGATGGTGTAATGGATTGTAATTTGAACTTTGAAACGTGACTTGAATGAAATGAATTTGTAATAGACAAGTCCTTTGGAAATGTAATGTTCTCTTTCTCAACATAGATTTGAATATCTTTTCCCTTCACTTGCTTAATCAAAACTTCAAAGTCTCTCTCCATAGGCAATCTTGAATGAACCATGAAGGAACTTTGGTGATGATTAATATGATCTTGCGCCTTGAAATTTGAACTTGAATAATGAATATGGGATGATGAAGAATGATTTGTATCTTGAAACTTATGAGCCTAGAAAGCCATATGAACGAATCCTTCATTTTTTAGCAAGCCTAAAACCTTAATCAAATGTTCCTTTGAATGAATGTATTTTCAATTTTCAATGAAACCTAAACTCAAATTCCAAACCAACTTGTATTTGTGAGCAACAAACAGTTGAAAACAAACCAAGCTTTGATCATAATGAACCCCTTGCTTCATATCTTGTATATGCTTCATGCTTTCGTAATTCAATCATCAATCCTTAATGACCAATTATCTCAGTTGAAGCACAAAGATTAAAACTCTAATATTGAAGAAGACTAATGCAAGGAAACCTCTCATGCTAAGGAGACACCCAAATTCATTGCATACTCAAACACAAAAGATCAAAACTCTTTGAAGAAACACAAAGAAATAAAACTCTGACTCCAAACCGTGGTGAATTTTGGAGAAGAATAAAAATGATGTAGCTCAGTCGTCTTCTGTACGATCTCAGGTTTGAGCACAGTTCTCTCGCCTTACTCATACCAACACAATCGAGTCCTACACCTCATACCATACAACGCTTCATACGGTGCCATACCAATACTCGCATGAAACCTATTATTGTACGTAAACTCAACCAATAGCAAGTGACTATCTCAAGATCCTTCTTGTTCTAGCACACAAGCCCTCAGCAAATCCTCAAAAGACTGAATAGTCCTCTTTGTCTGACTGTCTGCCTTTGGATGATATGCAGAGCTCAACCTCAACTTAGTACCAAAAGCATTCTACAAACCTTCCCAGAATTTCAACGCAAACCTCAGATCTCTATCTGACACGATACTCGAAGGTATTCCATGAAATTTCACAATCTCATCGATATACATCTTAGCTAGCTTCTCCATAGGATGATTGATCTTCATTGGTAAGAAATGAGCCGACTTAGTCAATGTATCTACTATCACCCAAAATGAGTCATTTCCCTTAGCAGTCTTCGGCAAACCCGACACGAAATCCATAGAGACACTGTCCTATTTCCATTCTGGAATACTCAAAGGTTATATAAGACCCATAAGCTTCTGATGTTCAATCTTCAACTTCTGAGAAGCCAAACAAGCATAAACAAACTTAAAGATCTCCTTCTTCATACCAGGCCATCAAAATAACTTCTTCAAGTCTTGATACATCTTCGTAGCATCAGAATGAATACTCAACTCGCTTTAATGTCCTTCTTAGAGGATACTTATCTTAAGTTCTGGAATATCTGAAACACACACTTCATTTCCGAACCTTATCACACCATTATCATCACTTTTGAACTCACCTCTATTACCTTGGTTAATCAAGGTCAACTGGTCAACCAACTTCAAATCATATTTCTGACCTTCTCAGATTTCTTGTATTATACCACTAGTTAGTTTCAACATTTCTAACTTCATACTATCGGGAGTCTCTTCACATACTAAGCACATATCTCTAAATTGTTCGATCATCTTCAACTCTCAAACTATAAGCATTGACATGTGCAAACATTTGCTACTCAATGTATCAGTAACTACATTTTCTTTACCCGGATGGTAATTCAAATCAAAGTCAGAATCCTTCAACAACTCAAGTCATCTTCTCTGCCTCATATTCAACTCCTTCTGGTCAAACAAGTATTTCAGACTCTTACGATCACTGAACACTTCAAATTTAGAGCCGAAAAGATGATGTCTCCAAATCTTCAACACAAACACCACAACTGCTAGCTCTAAGTCATGCATAGGATAATTCCTTTCATGAATTTTCAATTGCCTAGAAGCATAAGCAATAACCTGTCGATTTTGCATTAGCACACCACCAAGGCTCATCTTTGACGAATCATAATACACCACAAAAGCATCACTTGGGTTAGGAAAAATTAATACCAGAGCAGTCGTCAACTTCTTTTTCAATTCTATGAAACTTTCTTCACACGCAACATCTCACACATAAGCTTGACCGTTTCGAGTTAATTGAGTTAACGGTAATGCTAACTTAGAGAATCCTTCAATGAAACTTTGGTAATAACCTACTAAACCAAGAAAACTTTGAATTTCAGTCGCAGACTTCGTAGTCTCCCATTGCAACACTACATCAACTTTAGAAGGATCCACGGTAATTCCACCACTAGAAATAAAATGACCAAGGAAACTCACTTCCTTCAACCAAAACTCACACTTTGACAACTTGCATACAACTTCTTCTCTTTCAACACTTGCAATATTATTCTTAAATTCTCTGCATGCTCTTCTTCAGATTTGGAATAGATCAGGATATCATCAATGAACACCACGACAAAATTATCCAAATATGAATGAAAAGTCTGATTCATATACTCCATTAAAACACCTGGCGCATTAGATACACCAAAAAGCATCATAGTGTAATCATAGTGACCATACCTTGTTCGAAAAGTCGTCTTCGGAATATCATCTTGTTTAACATGAATTTGATGATAACCCGACCTCAAATCAATCTTGCTGAAAACACAAGCACCCACCTACTGATCCATCAAATCATCAATCCTAGGAAGTGGATATTTATTCTTAATAGTCACCTTATTCAACTGTCTGTAATCCATACACAGTCTCATACTTCTATCTTTCTTCTTGACCAACAACACAGGTTCACTCCACAGTGAAATGCTCGATCACACGAACTTCTTCACAAGCATCTCTTCTAGTTGCTTCTTCAACTCGCTCAGCTCTGAAGCTGACATCCTATAAGGAGCCATTGACACTAGACTTGTACCTGACACCACATCTATAGAAAACTCCATTTCATGTTTTGGAGGAAAATCACTGATGTCATCTGGAAACACTTCTGAAAATTTACAGACAATAGGTAATTCAACACTCGCCGCTTCATGATCGACTTACAACGATGCAAACATTGCAAACAACAAAGCTTTGTCTTCCATAAGTTTATTCACTTGCTTAGAAGACAACAATATCAATTCTCCATTATCACCAAATTTAGGGAGCCTTAAAGTCTTGCTATAACAGTTGATATGAATATAGTAGAACTCCAACTAGTTCATTCCGAGAATAACATCAATTTGGTGTAGGGGAAGACACACCAAATCCATCACAAAACTATTGCCATAAATAGTCAAAAGACATTTCAAACAAACACAAGTAGTAGTAACAGAACCACTAGCAGGAGTATCTATCACCATACTACCATTCATATTAGATAACTCCAGTCTTAACATATTAGCACATTCACGTGAAATAAATGAATGTGTAGCACCAGTATCAACAATAGCAACCAATTCAACATCATTAATAAAACAAGTAGCTCGAATCAAGTTGTCCCCCTTGGAATCCTTTGATCCATTCAAAGCAAACACTATACCGTTGGTCTGGGAAGAAGTGTCCCTCTTCGGCTTCTGACATTAGGTACTGATACAACCCTCCTCTCCATAATTGAAATGGGTTGGACCATTGTTCTAGAATTCAGAATCACGATGACCCGTCTTACCACATTTGTAGCACCTCATCACCTTATTCTCACATTCATTAGAACGGTAACCTTGTTCACCACACCTGTAACACTTGACAGAATCAGGAGCTCCTCCCCCACTTTTCTTCTTACCATTATAAGTCATTTATTACCCTTTATGAACTGGGGCATCATAAGGCTTCTTACGGTCTTGATATTTCTTTCCTCTTTTCTCGTTCAAACTCTTATAGTGAGTTGAATAAGCTTTGATGTGTTCTTCATAGATCCTACAAATGTTCACTAACTCTGAAAACACACATATCTGTGGATATCCAATTTCCCATTTGATTTCCGGATGTAAACCATTCTAAAACTTTATACACTTCGAGAACTCAGTAGTCTCTTCACTGTAATGTGGATCATACTTTTCTAGTTCCACAAACTTCAAAGGATACTCAGTCACAGTCAACTTCCCTTATTTCAACTCCAGAAACTCAATCTCTTTCTTCTCGCCACATGCTCGGGAAAGTAATTCTTCAAAAACTACCTACTGAACATAACTCAAGTAATAACTTCACCTACCTATGTTAGTATCTGACGGGTGCCAATCCACCAGTCTTCAACTTCCTCTATCAATTGATGCATACCAGACTGAACCTTTTGCGCCTATGAGAAATCCATGACTCAAAAGATTATGTCAATCTCCTTGAGACAAGTTTGTGCTCCATCAGGATCAAATCTACCTTTGAAAACAAGCGGATGATTCCTCTGAAATGTCTCCAAAACACGAGATCCATCATTCCCACCAACGTTGGGCTGCTGTTGCACAGCCTGAGCAACAACATGTAAGGAAGCAGCAAGTGCAACATCATTTCTTCCGACCATTCTACACACAAAAAACTAACGTCAAAAACATGCATCGAGAGTGTACTCACATTAATCGATCAACAGGACATACATATCATAAGAAAATCGGGTCAGACAGACCGACCTGCTCTGATACCACTAATGTAACACAATTCTAAACTCCAAAGAATATTTGAAAAATAATTCGATAATTAAATCAGAGTAATACACCAAAAAGGGTGTCACATTAGCTTGAAACAAATTTCATAGTAAAACATATAATTCTCTGTAACATGGAATTTCAAAAATCAATTACATTAGGTATTTCATGATTAACAACCATAGTTTTTCAACTTACTCGCAACAGAAATTCATAATTCAAAACATCTTTATTAAAATACTTCTAAATAAATTCATC